TAAAACGTGCAATGAAATTATAATGAAACACACACAAGGGAAAGCAAAATGAAAACAAAACAAAAAAAAAGAGCCGCGATCACCATGTGAATATGTTCAGGAGGCAACCAACACAATTCCCAGCAGTGGGTGTGCGTGTGTCTTTCGTACAGGGCGAGCAGTGGGAATGATGCACACATGATGGCAGTCCACACACACACACAGGGAGAAGGAGGATTGGTAGTGTGCGTGTTTGTGTGTCTTGAACCTCCTGTCATTCTTCACATTTCAGTCACAGCAATTAAAACACATCGGGATTGTATCTCATTCCCATGGGTAAAAGCAATAGTTATTAATATCACGGAACACACACATCACCAGGAGGACACAGTAAATGGAGACAAAACCGAGCCTAGATAATAATGCCAACAAACAAAGAGGACACTCCCCTCACAAAATGATGGTTTGCCATGTGATGAGTGTCATAGGGAGTCCAATAGATTTGTTCTGAAAAAAATGCAAACAAGAGATTTATCGAACTGAAAAAGAAAGGAAACAGCAAAAATCAATAAAAAAGAAAAATACCCTTACAACGCATCCATATCCACTCATACAAAGGTTAACTGTACAACTGTGTCATGGGAACACCGATCAGCAAACGAGAGTGCAACCCAACAAACATAGAAGAAGCAACAATAAGGGACTGTGCATCAATGCAAGACGGACACTGCCGTCTTTCTTATTCTTGGCATTTTTCGCCCTTTCCGCACCTTCCTTTGCCTTTCGTGCCTTTTCTTCTTCAGCCTGTTTCTCTTGTTTCCTTTTTTTTTCTTCGGCCAGTTTCTCCGCCTCCGCCTTCTCCCTCCTTGCCTTCTCTTCCCTCGCCTTTTTCTCCTGTTCTTCCCTCACCTGTCTTGCCTTCTCTTCTTTCGCCCTTCTTACTTTCTCTTCGGCCCGTCTCTCTTCTTCCTTCCGCCTTATCTCTGCCTTTTTCTTTTCCTCAAATGCTTTCTGCTCTTCCATTTTTTTCTGTTTCAAGTTCTCTTTTTCCTCCTCCAATACCCGGTTCAATTCGTTCACAATTTTACTGGCGTTCACCTGGTCCGGGTATTCCCGAACGCGCGCCCCAGTAACCGGACTCGCCCCAACATTCGCATCCGTTGTTTCTTTCCACCCCACCTCCTTCGTTGCGTTCTCCACTTCTTTCTCAGGAATCAATGAAGGGACCGCTTTGGTGATCTTCTTATCCCCAATCACCGGCATCGCAGTGACCATCTCGCTCTTTATTTCCTCCACTTTTTGATCATAATCCCTATGTGTCTTGTTGACCTTTTCCCTGACGTTCTCGAACCGTCGCACCGCCTCCTCCGCTGCGGACAACGCATCGCCCAAACTTCGCGCCACCTCGTTGGATATACCTCTACTGCGTTTCAAGCTGAACGTAAGGTTTTGCACGAGCAAATCCACCTCTCTTTCCGTTTTTCTGGTCCTGTTAATAAGATCTCCCCATTCCAACCTGTCGAACTTCCTGTTTTTCTCCTCCAGATCATCCGTATAGAACTTTAGATCGTTCTTGCTTTTCTCCGATCTCAGATCCCGCAAATTCCCAAGGAAAGCCATACAACCAACCAACACCCTCGCCTCCTGAAGTGCCGATCGTGCCGTGGCAATAACTTCCTTGCTTTTCTTCACTTTTTCGCTCACCACACCCACTTGTTCATTCAGCTTTCGTTTAACCTCATCACCCTCGTCCACTCTTTTCACAAGATCCCTCGTCGTGTTGGCACTCTCTTTCACTTCTTTGGCAATATTCCAGACATTCGTGGCTACATCCGCGTACTTCTCATTGTTTCGCTCTCCCACTTTCTGACAAGCCGTTGCCCCTGGTACCTGTTCATCCACTTTCTTCAACCACTCTTTGATTTTTTCGGCATGTTTTTCACCTTCTTTTTTCTCGGTGTCGTCAGCGCAAACCACACAAGCACATAGCTGCAGAAGTACCAACACATACACCACACGGCGCAGTTGGACGAAGATCGTTGTCATGATTGCCACTGTGGGTTGCTTGGATCTGTGGTAACAAGGAAGAAGAGGAAAAGGAGAAAAGTAGACACACATTTAACACACAAGGCAGTGGGTACACGGCACCACAGAGAAAGGAGAGAGAGAATACACATCACAACAGCAATCAAACACAACAACCCAATGAGGGGAACAACAGTAAACCACTCACGCAATAAAACACACCCAGAGTCACACAGATATTAAAAAACAACACCTTGAATTTAGAAGAAGTGGAAAACAAATGGTATCAAAACAATATTAAATAAACGTCTCTACACACACACTCCAATATCTTACTCGGTATTCATACACACAAAGTGTGTCTGTATTCTCATTATAATAAAACCATTACCAGGCAGTTCGAACACCAAAATACACCAAAAATACAGTGTACGCCCGGCAACATACAAAAACAACACCACAAAACAATCAGCAAAACAAAGAGACTGTACAATAATAATCAACACACTTCCAAACGGAAAAAATAAGAAACCAATGCATCACCATAATATTTATACCAACACCACAATTGGAATCTAAAACCCACTTACTCACAACTATAACAAAAATGACTGCATACATCACTGTAATACCATGCCACTCTTTACAAACAGAGGCAACACACAATTACTCTCTCTCACACATATTACCTCTTTATTTATCCTTATT